TTTCTCCTGCACTGCCTCATCTGGAACGTTGGCTGGGACAATGCTGGAGGCATCTTTCCACAATCTTAATGAGGAATTCAGCTCCTTAAAAATAATCCCCAAACTCCACACCCCTCAGTTTTATAAGAGACGGCCTTAGTTCCCACGAGGACTATGCACCGCGCAGCATGAGGTCAGTACGTGTCCATCCTAACGCCCTTCTTGGTTTTTGGTTAACTGACACTAATAAATTTTTACAGGGGCTGTGCTATTATGGAAAGTATAAAAGTGAAGCATTAAAACCACAGAGGAGTCTAAAGATATTATCTCCTATAAAGAATCACATGTGGCCGGGAGCCGTGGCTCATGCCTGTAATCACAGCACTTTGGGAGACCGAGGTGAGTGGATTGCTTGAGCCCAGGAGTTCCAGACCAGCCTGGGCAAGAGAGCAAAATGCTGTCTCTACAAAAAATACAGTAAATTAGCTGGATGTAGTGGCAAGCACCCATAGTCCCAGCTACTGGGGGAGGCTGAGGCGGGAGGATCGATTGAGTCCGTGAGGCTGAGGCTGCAGTGGGCCAATGATTCCACCACTGCACTTCAGCGTGGGCGGCAGGGCAAGACCCTGTCTCAAAACAAGCAAACAAAATAAACCCCACAGAAAACCAAAACTCATTTGCCTGGTTTAGAGAGGAGAGAGCTGCAGCTCAGAGAGGTGAAGTGGCCGCACACCTGGGTGTCTCACCACCCCACCATCTGACACTGTTTTCCCTGGTAGTGTTATGCTGGGGGGTCTTACGAGGTCAGTCATCCTCAGGACTCTGTTCATGTAGGATTTATGCCTCGAGTCACCATGCCATCTGTTTTGTAGAAAACCATCTCTTCTTCCACAACTTCCCCAATCAAATTTGTGATTTTGCTTATTAAGCTCAACAATTCGCACATTTCTGGATTTCTCTGTGGGTGGCTGTCAGCGAAGCCTAACCAGTTGAGAAGCCCTGGAAGGTCCTTCAGGCTTGGGGAGAAAACCCCTCCTGGAGCACTGCGGACGGAGAGAAGGATGCAGCCTTTGGAATCTCAATTAAGTCCAGAGATGAGCTCTCTCTCTGCCTTCCAACTCCCCCTCTCTTGTTCTCTCTTTCAGTCTCCACTGACTCTGAACCTGTCACTTGTGGCAAACACAGCTGGTGGAGTATTTTAGCTGTGATGATGTCAGCTGATTTCTGATAGGCTCCTCGGTAAAGTGACAAATCTGGTTGCGTCAGGGCCTTGCACTTTTGTTTCTACAGCGTGAAGCCCCAGCTGCCTTTTCAGCAGGTCTCAGTGAGCTTGCCTTTCCTTGCGGGAGCCCTTCCCAGCATGCAGCACAGCCACGCGGGGCTGACCCCACACACCTACCAACAGGCCCTGACCACACTTGTACCTGCTCGTCGGCACCCCGGCTTCAGCAGAGAGACTCAGTGATCTCACTACAGGGAAAAACATGAGAACAGGGCTCTGACTTACAGGGTAGCCAATTTCTCTATCATGTAATCATTAATTTTGCAAAGTTTAGAGTAGGGGAAAACACACCTAGATTCTTCCTGTCCAAAAAAAAGAGGGCTGTAAGGGACTGGGCACGGTGGCTCACTCCTGTAACGCCAGCACTTTAGGAGGCTGAGGCGGCAGGGGATCACCTGAGATCAAGAGTTCGCGACCAGCCTGGCCAATATGGTGAAATCCCATCTCCACTAAAAATACAAAAATTAGTAGGGGGTGGTGGTGCTTTCCCAAGTAGTCCCAGCTACTTGGGAGGCTGAAGCAGGAGAATCACTTGAACCCAAGAGGCAGAGGTTGCAGTGAGCAAGATTGTGCCACTGCACTCCAGCCTGGGAGTGAGGCTCCCAGTGAGACTCTGTCTCCAAAAAAAAAAAAAGAAGAGGGCTCTGGGGCTCTCGGAGCCTGCACTCTGCAGAGGCTGCCAGGTCTAGGAGGTGCGGGCCACAGCTGAAGTGACTGCCTTCATTCTCAAGCAGACAGAGATGCTGGCCGGCAAGGAACCATTTCTAAACAAAACCTCTTTTCACACCTGCCTCTGTTCACAAACAAGTTTTAAGGATTCCAAGTACCACGGCAATGACTCTTCACTGATGGGTTTATTTTCCATGTTACACCTGGAGTCTGTGAAGAGTCAACTTTGCTCAAGGCAGCTCATTTTCTTTCTCCTAGTACTCACCCCTAATTCATGCAGGAAGTAAACAGCAACTACAGAGGGGTAGTGAGCTCTATTTAGGCCATTAAAAAAAATCCTGACTTTTTTCTTTTTTTTTGAGACGGAGTCTTGCTTTGTTGCCGGGCTGGAGTGCAGTGGCGCGATCTTGGCTCACTGCAACCTCTGCCTCCTGGGTTCAAGCGATTCTCCTGCCTTAGCATCCCAATTAGCTGGGATTACAGGCGTGCACCACCACACCCAGCTAATTTTTGTATTTTTAGTAGAGACAGGGTTTCAGCATGTTGGCCAGGATGGTCTCGATCTGCTGACCTCCTGACTCGTCTGCCTTAGCCTCTTAAAGTGCTGGGATTACAAGCGTGAACCACCACCCCTGGCCAGTTTTTTTAAAATCAGATCTTTGGGGAAATCTTTCTTGGGCCCTTCCAAAGATTGTAAACCTACAGCGACATCTCACAATTACAAAAGAACTCGGGGCTAACAGCTCTCGGCAATGCAGGACCCCGGCTTGGTGCAAACCCTACATCCAGTCATTCACAAGCAGTTCTGGAAAAATAATTTGGTCCTTTCCTCACTTGGCCTTTTAACCAATGTTCAAAAAAGCCAGGCATGGGGACTTATGTCTATAATCTTGGGGATTTGGGCATCTGCAACCCTGTCTCTACTAAAAAGGCAGAAGGATTGCTTGAGCCCAGTAGTTTGAGACCAGCCTGGGCAACACAGCAAGACCCCATATCTACTAAAATGTTTTTTTCTTTTTTAAATTAGCTGGGCATGGTGGTATGCACATGTGGTCCCAGCTATTAAGGAGGCTGGGGTGGGAGGATCGCTGGAGCCTAGGAGGTCAAGGCTGCAGTGAGCTATGACTGTGCCACTGCATTTCAGCCCAGGGGACAGAAAAACGTTGTCTCAAATTGTTTTTAAAAATGCCCAAAGCAATTCAAACCATTACCTAGTTTATCTTTTTTGCTTGTTTTATTTTATCTGAACGTCCAAAATAGCAGCTATTTCATGACTATTTTCAACTTGGGTTGGAAGGAGGCTCTGTCCCATTTGAGTGTTCTCAAATCCTAGATGGAAACACTGGTAGAGAGTGGCCTCCACCACCAGGGGGAGCTCTCAGCTGCAGGCTGAACCTGCTGGACGCCCAGCAACTTGGGCAGTGAAAGAAATGGGCTGTGGAATAAATGCATGGGGTCGAGCTAGGAAGCTGGAAAAGGGTGGACGGAAGGAGCCTGTGTAAATTAAGAGAATTAACCACTCTTCCAGTTTCTCCCATGACTCATCTTGGCTACAGCTGACTTTACCCCAAGCCCAGCAGGTGACCTGGGACAGCCCTGACTTCTCAGATTGTATTAACCATGCTTTTATTTTCTGATGCTTTGATATTTTAGGGTCTTGTGGACCCCAGAGGTATAGTCCCTTCTAGGGTTAGCTAATTCCTAGAGATTTCAAAGAACTCACCGGGGAGCCTGACTTTCATATGCAAATCAACCAGCCAACCAGTCCAGCGCCCACGCCCCAAGTGCCCCCTCTATTGGCCCATTACACTCAGGGCTGCTTTCTACCTGTCTCTTTCTTTTACATGGAGTCTCTGTCGCCCAGGCTGGAGTGCAGTGGCCCGATCTCAGCTCACTGAAATCTCTGCCTCCCGCGTTCAAGCAATTCTCCGGCCTCAGCCTCTCAAGTAGCTGGGCCTACAGGCGCATGCCACCACGCCTGGCTAATTTTTGTATTTTTAGTAGAGATGGGATTTTAGCATGGTGACCAGGCTAGTCTCAAACTCCTTACCTGTGGTGATCCACCCCCTTCGCCCTGCTAAAGTGCTGGGATTACAGGTGTGAGCCACCGTGCCCGGCCTTTCCACCTGTACTGGTCACCCCAGCACCAACCACCAGACAACTAGGGACAACCCCTAGGCCCAGGGCACACTGGAATCGTCCACTCTAGCCAATCCTAACCCTGCTTACCCTGCACCCCACAAAACCACAATACAGGCTGCTGCTTGCCACGTTTCCCCTCACTTCCTCTACCTCCTGACCCACGTGGTGCTTCCCCAGGTGGCCCCCACTTTATGGTGTTGAGTGCCCCTTCCTCTTGGGATCAGAGTATAACAAACTATCCCTTCAAAGAGCTGTCTCCTGATCTGTCGGCCTTATCATACCTAAATAATAGTAAGACATTATATATATGTTGGAGACAGGGTCTTGCTATGTTGCCCAGGCTTAAGTGCAGTAATAGTCACAGGTTCAGCCACAGCTCACTACAGCCTCGAACTCCTGGGCTCAAGTGATCCTCCTGCCTCAGCTTCTGGAGTAGCTGGGACCAAAGGCATACACCACTGTACCCCACTAATAAGACGTATTTTCCAACATGGATGCTGCCATGGGATGTGATTCTTTTGGCAGCTAACGCCCTCACTCCAAAGGCATCTTCTGTCTTTTCCTGGTAAGAAAAAGTACGGAATGACCACTAGGACCTGAAGTCCGGCAGCTTTTCCTAATCAGGGTCCCTCATCCCAACAACAGAATTCAAAAAATAACCAGAGTGGTGAGTTTCTGAATTGTCTCAAGGACTCCTTCACTAGCATTTCTCTCCAGGCGTGGAGGTTCATTCATTACACACAGCAGAGTCCCCGGGGAAGTGGGGCTTACTTTTTCTAGAGAACAGAGTAGGGAAAGGCGGTGTCTGAGGTCTAGGTGTAACTGAGGACCCTCAATCCTGCCTCACAGAAACAACTCATCTTGCCGGGAGAGGAGGACGGCGTCACGGTGTGGTTTCCCATCCCCGCGCCACCGGGGCCAACGTTACCTGGGCTCGGTGCTCCCCGACGGCGAACTGTATCACGGCCATGCCCGGACTATGGCTGTCTTCGATCCTCTCCACCGTGCTGGAGTCGATCTTCAGGTCGTTACTTATCTCTGCACTCTGGATGAAATCTTCCGTTTTTAAGTCTTCCACCTTCTTCAGCTCCCCGTTGGCCAACTGGATAATGGAGCCTTTCATGAAGTAGGGAGGCAGCGTGGGGGGAGCCGCTGCGGGGGAGGCCACAGACTGCACCACGGGCAGGTGGATCTGGGCCTGCACCATGGCCGGGTAGGCGGCCTGGGTGACCAGGGCCTCCGGGTTGAAGTTCTCGCTCTTGGGAAGGGCGGTGGTGACAAACGTGTGAGGCACTGCAGCAAACTGGGGGGACGACGTGACGATGGCCGGAGCTGCCCCCGACGCTTCCATGTCAGTGCTGCCGACCGGGATGAGCAGGGGTTGTGTGCCGGGGATCACCAGGTGCTGGGGCAGGCTGCCGGCGTAGGTGATCGCTTGCTGCTGGCCGCTCAGGTAGCCGATGACAGGGGGTTGAGTCCCCGCGTAGAAGGCTGTGGCTGGCAGTCCCACCGGGAGTGGCTCTGAAGCACTGTGTGTGGTCTGAATGACCGTGTGGGGTGAGAGCGCATAGGACCGGTGGCCCGGCTTCCCTAAGTGCAGGCCGCTTTTGTCGTTGAGGGTGGAGGGGGAGGCCTCGCGATGAGTGGCCTGCTGCACCTCCAGGTCGGCCGCGGGCGTGCTGCTGTTGGGCAGGACCATGACAGAGGCCCGGACCCCCGAGGGGTCGCGACTGCTGTAGTCGGAGGGGCTCGGGTGGACCACCACGTGCCTGGACTCGTACGGGTGAGGGACCGACTTGCCACCCACCTTGCCCAGGCCCAGGTCGGCTGAGGACGGGGCCCCGTACCGCCGGCCCTTCTCCATCTCACCATTCAGGACCTCCTTGGCCTGGATGGCCTGCTGCAGCCGGCTGCTCTCGGCTTTCTTGGTGGCCTCCCGAGGGACAAAGTGGCTGCCGGAGTCGGCGTATTGCATGACGACCTGGGAGGGGGGGCCCAGGGTGAGTGTGTGTGGGATCATCGTCTGATGGGGGTGGAGGTGGACGGGGATGGCTGGAGGAGAGGCGGTGCGGCCGGTGCTCTGCGGAGAACTGGAAATGTGGACGTACTGGCTCTGCTGGGCGGGTGGGGGGGACCCCGGGGTGATGAGCCCCGGAGCCCTGCTGAGGTGCTGCTGCGGCGGTGGCGGCTGCTGCGGCTGCTGCTCAGCCTTGTGTCCCGGCGCCTGGCTCAGACTGCCCATGTTGGCCAACAGAGTGGAATAGGCCTCCAGCTGGGAGCGCTGGGATGGAGTGGTGGCCCCTGCAGCCGAGGCCACCGCACTGGTGACGGGGTTGGCGGTTGGGGGGATCAGCTGTGACGGGATGAAGCTGGCGTAGGTCCCGCTGTACTGGGAGGACCCAATGAACTGGAAGGTGTGTGGCAGGTGAGCGTACTGCACGGGAGACACCGGGGTCCCTGGCTGTGGGGTGGCGTACGCGGCGGGCAGCGTGGTGGCCACGGGGACAGACCTGGGCGCGCTGGGTGGGGAGTAGTCCAGCCCTGTGGACAATGCTTTGTGTAAACCTATTCCCTGTTGTAAACCAAGCTCCGCTGAGGTCCCTGCCGGCCCGTGCCTCCCGCCCCCGTGGCCCCGGCCACCAGGGTTGCCCGGCAGCCATGCTGCGCCCTCCACCCGGTGGTTGTCGCTGGGCAGGGCGGGGGCCTTCTCCTCGCTGGACCGGCTGGTGGCGGGGATCTCGCGCTTCTTGGGAGGCAGGCATTCGTTGCTCCGCTCTTGGTTGGATTTCATTTTTCGCCGTCCCCCCTCCACGGTGACTGTTTCACTGTCTGGCTGAGTCTGGTTTTAGTCTGATAAACGGAAAGTCACATTTGATTTCTGTAGGGGATCCAGGCTCTTCATGAGGAATCATCTCCCCGTGGGTACGATCCGCCAGCCGCAGCTCTGGATGCTGGGAAAGGGAAGAGGGCAGTGACAAGGGGAAAAGGAAAGAGAGGAGAAAGGGAAGGAGGGAAAGGACATCAGAACATCAGCACTGGGGAAAGAACATCCTTGGCAAGATTAAGACTAGGCCCTGGACTCAGTGCGATCTCCCCAAACCCGAGGGCAGCCTGAGCACTGAAGCAGGTAAAACTCTAGCCATGGTGGCTGCACGCCCGAAGGAAGGCTATGGAGACACTAGCCAAGCGAACACTCTAACACCTATACTGTTTTTTTTCCTTTTTTGAGACAAAGTTTTGCTCTTGCTGCCTAGGCTGGAGTGCAGTGGCACGATCTCGGCTCACTGTAACCTCCGGCTCACTGCAACCTCCGCTTCCTGGGTGCAGGTGATTCTCCTGCCTCAGCCTCCCGAGTAGCTGGGATTACAGGCATGTGCCACCATGCCCAGCTAATTTTGTACTTTTAGTAGAGACAGGGTTTCTCCATGTTGGTCAGGCTGGTCTTGAACTCCCAACCTCAGGTGAGCCACCCACCTCAGCCTCCGAAAGTGCTAGGAGTACAGGCATGAACTACTGTGCCCAGCCCACATATACTTCTTAATGGAGTTAACAACTCCTCTAAAATGTTCTCAATACTCTCTCTCTCTCTCTCGCTTTTTTTTTTTTGCCTTTTCTTCTTAGAGGGTAGATGATGCAGTTCTTAAATTTCCTTTTCAGAAATGCTGGTTCCATTCCTCACCTCTCCTTTACCTGGCTGGATAATAAAATGAAGCCCTTAGTGAGCAGGACACCAGCTGAGCCCTGCCCTCAGAGCCAGGTGTTCAGAAAAAGCAGGTCAGCAGAGAATGTACAGAGCAGTCCTTGCACTTTATTCTGAATCTTCACCTGCCAGAGCCACTACTCTCTGAGATTCCCCTTAGCTCTGGGTCCATAATGGACCTACGATTCCCTCTCCCTTAATACACACACACACACACACACACACACACACACACACACGCCAACTCAGCAGGGGCTGCCAAAAATAATCCTGTTCTCTGCAAGTTTCAAAAGAATTCCCAGTACGGCCACTCACATAACAGAGTGAGACAGTTAAAAACCAAATTTGATTATGGTTAAAAAACCCAAATACCATATAAAAATAGGGCTCCTGCATTAAAAGTTTTCTTTTTTTTTCCTTTTTGAGATGGAGTCTCTCTCTGTCACCAGGCTGGAGTGCAGTGGCGTGATCTCTGCTCACCGCAACCTCCGCCTCCCGGGTTCAAGGGATTCCCCTGCCTCAGCCTCCTGAGTGCTGGGACTACAGGCGTGGGCCACCATGCCGGGCTAGTTTTTGTATTTTTACTAGAGACAGGGCTTCACCATGTTCACCAGGATGGTCTCAGACTCCTGACCTCATGATCTACTCACCTTGGCCTCCCAAAGTGCTGGGAATGCAGGAGTGAGCCCGCAACCGGCCTGAAAGTTTTCTTAATGAGTTACACGCTTGGTGTGTCTGTCTCTTTCTGCCTCTCCAAGTTGTCTCTGAAGTTTCCCTTGACACTGTCCCCTCCCTTTCTCCTTGGAAAGGAACAACTCGCCATGAACACTAGAGACGACACCCCTTTCGGACAAATCAGATTGGTGTGTTGAAACCCAGACAAACAGTGATTCTGGGGTCAGCAGTTCTTATGGACAAGTATCTCAGTCTCTTACTAACCACCGAGGTCTGAGTTACCGCTGCCGTGTTGGCACACCACTGCCCAACTGACAAGAGGCCGAACCGTCAGTGGAACTGACAAGAACCAGGCTAGTGAGCAGCAGAAGTGAGTGATTCCACAGGTGGCGGCTATAGGTGGGCACAGTGCCATGTGCTGTGATCCTGAGAGCTGTGGGGTTGGGTTTTGGGATCTCACATCCAGACCCTCTTTTCAATGATCTGATTTTCTTTCTTTCTGTCTTTCTTTCTCTTCCTTTCTTTGGAGCAATGGGTCTTGCTATGTTAATCAGGCTGGTCTTGCACTGCTGGCCTCAAGAAAGCCTCCTTCCTTGGCCTCCCAAAGTGCTAGGATTATAGGCCTGAGCCACTGTGTCTAGCCAATGCTCTGATTTTAAAACAAACACAATAACGTAGCAGCCTTCCGCATTCAATCCTTGTTCATGCTGAAGCATCAGCAAGATCCCTACTGAAACACAGCCCCCATTCTCTCCCCTGCCTCCCCTCCCCAAATTTGTAACTTTTATGGAAGGGGCGATGACTTCTTTCTTGCTGTCTCTTTGTCTCTCTCTCTTTCTTTCGAGACAGGTCTTGCTCCGTTGCTCAGGCTGGAGCACCATGGCATGATCTCGGGTTGCTGCAACCTGTGCCTCCTGGGCTCAAGTGATCCTCCCATCTCAGCCTCCCAGTGCTGGGATTATAGGTGTTAGCCACTGGGCCCAACTTGGGAACAGCAATTATTTGATGGCCCTTGTTGCTTTTATTCCAACATCAACAATGAACATCACAAAGAAATTACAGATGACACAACAGAAAGTTCCCAATCCTTAATCATTTTGGTCTAGATATCTAGGAAGGTGGAGATTTAAGAGAATGAATGTCTCAATATCAAAGGATATTTTAATAAGAATTTCTCATGAAAAGAGAAGCACTTAAAGACTACGATGGAAGTGAAAAATAAAGTAAAAAACCTAAAACACTCATGCTGAAGAAATGAAGTGTCGAAGGAGTAATGTCACCTATTTACTCTCTCAACCTAGGTCTTTTTTTTTTGAGATGGAGTCTTACTCTGAAACCCAGGCTAGAAGTCAATGGCCCAATCTCAGCTGACTGCAACCTCTGCCTCCCAGGTTCAAGCGATTCTCCTGCTTCAGCCTCCTAGCTGGGATCATGGGCACCTGCCACCACGCCTGGCTAATTTTTGTATTTTTAGTAGGGACAGAGTTTCACTGTGTTGGCCAGGCTGGTCTCGAACTCCTGACCTCAGATGATCCACCGGCCTTGGCCTCCCAAAGTGCTGGGATTACAGGTGTGAGCCACTGCACCTCGCCAATCTAGGGTTTTTGTAAGGCTCAAATAACTGTTTTGTACAGCTTTCCCTTGTAAAAAGCACAGCACATGATTTACACCTAATACTTGCCAATCAATTACAATGACAGAATAAAATTACACTACAAAAGCCTCAAAAAAGTTGCCCCTTTTGCCTGCCTGAAAAGTACTAATCATAAACTTTCTCTTTAAATTTCAACACTCACTCTTAAGAAAGGGTATGCCAAACGCTCTTAATTTCCATACCAACCAGCCAGGAAATCTATGCGAGACCTACTCAAAGGAAACTGGTCCAAGCGCCCCCTGCTGGTCCTCCTGTAGCACTGATCCAATAAAATCCCACAGGGTTGCATGAGGGATATTCATGCAAGAGTGGTATGTCAGAATGTGAAATGAGAACATTTGCATATAGTAGGCCCTGCCAGAAAGGGAATAGGTTAATTAGCCCAAGGCACCACCGGGGAAGAAAAAGCAGCGGCATAAAAGTCCTTTCAAAGCCAAGTAAAATGTCAAACGCATTCAGGAATAGGTCTCTTAGCAATGCAAATATAACACTGCCGGCACAATTGAAAGCACAATACACAAAACTAGAAAACTCCTCTGAAGGTACTTCTTTAAGGAGCCAGCTTTCGTAAGTTGGAAAAAAAAAAAAAAAAAACAAAACGCTGACTTGGTTCTCAGTAGCACTGAGGTTTAATTATGCTGTTTATTTGAGAGACGTCTGCTTAGTCGGCCCTGAAGACTCACTGGTCTTCTGCTAATGATTGCTAAGACATATTGGCCTTAACACACAAATCCAAATTTATTCTTATGAAAAGTTATCCATTGATAAACAGCGTCTTTTCCAGAGACTGCCAATGAGAAATCAAGGACACAATGATTGAGACAGAAGCTGCAGGGACCTGAGGCCAAACTGATAAAATTTTCCACCCATCCTCCTCCTACATTTAGGACTATTGACCAGCGCAGCACGGAGCAGACAAAGCTCTCCAATGCAGACGAATGTGTCCTTTCTCTGGAACCTGTAAGCGTTTAGTACTGATAAGGGGAAACCGGAGAGTAGAGATTGGGTCTTGCTGTATTTTCAATGAACCACCAGAGGGCGCCCCAGGATGGTACCACATTCCTGGTCTGTTGGGTGATGATTTATGAGACTAAAGAACAGAGAAGTAACTTACGAAGGTGGAAAAGTAGAGTAGGAAAATAAGGAAGAAAGAAAAAGAAAAGAAAGAAGAAAATAGAAAAAGGAGAGTGGGATTTCTGCCCTTAGAGTCTCTAGTTGTAGACGCCTGGCCTCTGTGTCCTGAATCGACCCCCCCAGGGGTCCCCGAGGAGTTTAATTCTGGAAGCATCTACCACAGCAGAAAGATTTCTTCCAAACATGGGGCCGTGCACAATTACGTCAATGCCAAGTTACCAGTGAGCTCCACGTGCAGATCACACTGTTTAAACCTTACATTGGAAAAGGGAAACTGGAGGGGGAGTTAACAGATGAATCAAGACAAATGTACTTAGGGTTTGCTACCTATGGTTTGCCCGAGAATCGACGTTCTGAATACATTCATCTTAAGCTGCTGTATAGCTACATTCTCTATCTCTCTATCATCGTTTCTAAAGTTAGCCAGTAGTATAAGGCCTCGCTAGACCAAGTGCGGTCCTCTGACCCGTGACATCAGCATACTTGGCAAGTCTGCTGGAAATGCAGAATCTCAGGCCCCACCCAGACCTGCATTTTAACAAACTATGCAGATGATTCATACCCACAGTAAGGTTTGAGGAACCCTGGTATCCCTCAGGGTAAATTTTCTGCTGCTAAACTCTTAAGCAAATTAAACACCTCTAGCCTGTTCCTGATGGGGTGGGCACCAGGAAACCAAACTGGATGCTGTGTGTAAACAGAGTTGACGGAGCCTCAAAGATAAACAGCTAATATTTAGGTGACGCTCT